GCTCTCTCTCTCTCCCTCTCTCTCGCTCTCTCTCTCTCCCTCTCTCTCTCTCTCCATCTGTCCCCACGCAAGGCTTACTGACTCTCGTTCAGCCTTCCGCTACACGCAACAAGGCGCGCGGCAGCGTCGCTACATACACGTCTGGCTGTGGCGCGCGCGCGGTCTCTCCTAGTTACATATCCACCGCCACCATCTGCCGTCTACCAGTTCGCGCCCTCTACGCGGTTATATGATCACCTACAGCCGCTGATGTTTTTCCAGAGAGAAGGGGGAGTGGGAGAAGGGGGAGAGAAGGAAAGAAGGGGGTGATATTAGAAGAAAGAGCGGCAGACAGAGTAAAAAGTGGGGCGAAAGGAAGAGAGAGAGAGAGAGAGAGAGAGAGAGAGAGAGAGAGAGCAGGAGAGCGAGTGCGAGCGGGAGAGGGGAGCTCAGTGTACCGAATATAGCGTGCACATCACGTATCCTTCTATATGCGAAGTGCCGGCCTGCTTCCAAAGTGCCCGCTTCATACTTGTCTCGAAGGCCAAGCGCGAACGAAGTGCCGTAATGACGTGTTGATATTGTATGTAGACTATATATATATATATTAGGCGCTGGCCGCCACATGGCTCTTGGAGAAATAAACTAAAACAGTACCCCCGCGCATATATATATCGTTCCGCTCTATACGTCTACGTATATATATACACAACTCGTGGCGATGTGATCTCAAAGCGGCTGGGCAGGCTTAAAGAGCACCGACTAGTGTAACAGCAAACAACGACGACGCAGCTGAAGTGGTCGGTGTGGGGAAAATTGCGACTTACTTACTGCGAGGATCAAAAATGGCTTCGCTACATCTGGTCCCGTGTAAGCTGTATATGGTCTAGAGGCGCGGAGGGACGGGACGTGCTAACTGCAACAAGGGGATTTCGGCAGAGGGACTATTTGGCGTTAAAGTGGTTACGTCACCGAAAATAGTAAAAATAAAAAAAACATTTCCACTTTTTCACAAAATGTAAGTAATTCTGTTCACTTTTTATGGTTAATTGCTGCATTATACTTCCTGTTTTACTATATTGTTCGATGTGAACATACACTCGTGACTCATACATAGCCCATAGCAAGCAATGTCAGGAACATAATATCAAATCGTCCAGGTTTTTTGGATTTTTAACTAGTTGAGAAACAATCTTATCAGGTAAGAATTTGACGATACGTTTAATCCCGTTTGTTCTTACGTTTAATGTAAAAAAATGGCAACCAAAATCGTACAAATTTTACCAGAGAAAGTTCGTGACGTAGTCAATTTAAGGGCAGGGGGCCCACACGAGCGCAGCGCCATGTGGGTTGGGGTATTGGACTGTATCGTCGTACAACACGCGGCGAAGATATTAGTAAATATTGGTCATGTATTCTGTTTGCGGAGCGGAATATGTGTGCCTGCGTATAGACGGAAATAGATCTAATCAACTGTGGATATAGTCAAGTCGGGATGTTGTTCCAACGCTATTAACCTTGCTTATAAGCTCACTTGACGTTTGAGTTTGGGCGAACTCTTTCTACATCGTTTTCGGTTACGACCGTATGGCTTTGATAGGTGGATTCTGTTACTGAACGCAGCTATATCTTTTCTATACTTAGAGTTGGGTCACACAGGCTAGTGAGACTGAGTATCCCCATGCATGCGCCCACAATCTCACACACATACACACTCACACACTCACTCACACACTCACACACATTACACACTCACGCACTCACACACATACATCACACACTCACACACTCACACACATTACACACTCACACACATTACACACTCACACACTCACACACATACATCACACACTCACACACTCACACACATCACACACTCACACACTCACACACATACATCACACACTCACACACTCACACACATTACACACTCACACACTCACACACATACATCACACACTCACACACTCACACACTCACACACATCACACACTCACACACTCACACAAATACACACACACACACATACACCTAGCACACACATACACATCACATACACACGTTGCCACAGACGCCACGCGCGCGTTCGTGTGTGTGTGTGTGTGTGGTGTGTACCTTGTGTGTGTGTGTGTGGGTGTGTGTGTGTGTGTGTGCTCTGCCGTGTGTATGTTGTGCGTGCGCGTCGTGTGTGTTTACGCGCGCGCGTTTGTATGTGCGTGTGTCCGCGCGCGCGCGTGTGTGCGCCGATTTTTACGACCCGGAGAAAATTACAGCAAAACGAAAGAAGCACCAAGGTCGCGCGCCTCCTTCAACCCCTCCTTCATCAACACCTCTCTTCTCAACACCTTCCTTCCTCAACACCTTCCTTCGTCCTCAACCCCTCTTCTCACACAGTTTCTCCTTCTTCAACCCCTCCTCCTCCTCAACCCCTCCTCCTCCTCAACCCCTCCTTCTCACACATCTCCTTCTCAACACCTCCTCCTCAACCCCTCCTCCTCCTCAACCCCTCCTCCTCCCTCCTCAACCCCCTCCTCTTCCTTTTCAGACACCTCCTCCTGCAACCCCTGCCTTCTCCTCAACCCTCCTCCTCCTCAAACCCCCTTCCTTCTCACACAATCTTCATTTTTCAACACCTCCTCCTCAACCCCTCCTTCTCCTCAACCCCTCCTCGCTCCTCAAAACCCCCTCCTCCTTCCTTCAATCCCTCCTTCTCGCCACACCTCTTTCTCAACCCCCCCATCTCACACACACAGACCGCGGCATGTGGGACGGCACCGCAAGCAGACTATTCCTTTACAAGACTCTCCTTGCGAGCCTATCGAGACAGTCCCTACCTCCTACTCTTTCTTGTACGAATTCTCGGAGAAGCTGAGAGACTATTCCTCTACTTGCGAGCTATCGAGACAGGCCCCTACCCCCTACTCTTTCTTGTACGAATCTCTGAGCAAGCTGAGAGACATCCTCTAGCTTGACAGACAGCCGGTATATATACCAAAGTTCCGCTCGATGGATGCTGCGCGCTCTTGCATCGGCGCCGAGTACACTCTCTCGGTTTGCTCGGTCGGTCCGGTTCGCTCGGTCGCCGCGCACAGTGCCAGACAGCTGTTTTTTCTCGGCAGTGCGGAACAAGCGCCTCCTTAGATTCGGGGGGAATTGATACCGGCAGGCAGTCGCCGAAAAACACGAAGGATATTCCCCTCGATATATGTAGACGCTTCTCTCTCTCTCTCCCTATCTCTCTCTCTCTCTCTCTTCTCTCTCTCTCTCCTCTCTCTCTCCCCCTATCTCTTTCTGGCTCGCTCTTTCTCTCTCTCGCTTTTTTTCTTCTCTCTCTCTCTCTCGCGCGCTCTCTCTCTCTCTCGCGCGCGCGCTCTCTCTCTCTCCCGCGCACACTCCCTCTCTCAGTCTCTCTTCTTCTCTTTCGTTTACTCCCCCTCTCTTTCTATCTTTCTCTTTCTTTCTATAACTCCCACCCTCGCTCTCGCTCTCTCTCTTCCCCTCATCTCTCGCTCTCTTTTTTCTCTAACTCTATCCCTCGCTTGCTAATTTTGACTCGTGGCTGCACAGCAGGCAGCCCGTTATTGACATCCGTTCACGAGCCTGCGCGCTGAGAAGGAGAAGGGGGAAGGGGGGCTAGCCACAAGTATAACCGACTTTCTTAACACGGCGTGTCGAGGAGACAGTTAGAGAAGTTATACAGTCGTTAAACTTACGCCGCCGGGGGGCGCTATAAATAGCCAAACATATATTCTCTCTCCGGAAGACCGTAAAACTATTGCTGCTATCTAAAGTCAACAATGTTTTATTGCAGTTATAGTTTTCATTTTTCATTCGTTACTATTACGGAGGGAGAAGCGTAGAGGTTAGGATGACTCAAAGACGCAGCCGCCGTGGCTGATTCACATATATATAGCTAGCGATGTGAGCTAGTGTTTCACATAGATGGTTATCATGGCATCTATAACAGAACGTTGTAACTGCAACTGTTGCAGTAGCAAAAACCCGTGTAGTAGTAGTAGGGCAACTGCTTAACATCGAATAGTGTCATAGATCAGCTCTTCGTGTCGGCAAACTCTTTCATCTAAAGAATAAATAATGTAATGTCAGGAGCAAGATAATACGGTAGCATTCCCCACAGGTCTATTAGATCGGGGCTGAACATTATCGGGATTGTGTTTGTTGCACTGTGTTAATTACTCCTGAATAGAGTTACAAATCCACAGGTGTGTTATCTATACTAGATATATAATCAAGCGTACCATAATAGAAAATTCTATTACTTTTGATATAATTCAGGGGTGTCATCTCACTCCTAATTATATGTACAAGCCCATCTACGGCATCTGACGTAATATCTACTAGATAATGCGCAGGTGGTATAATCTCCCTACCTCCCGATAAGGTATAATACTTTTGCATTATATCGAGTATATAATACGTCAATGCATTATCAATATATATATATATATATTTATTTATTTATTTATATATATATATATAGAAAATATTGCAATAACAACAACTGGAGACATAATTATGCACTCATAATTATGTCTCCAGTTGTTGCCATTTCTATATTTTTTGTGTAATTTAACGTTTGACTTTTTGCATTTTATTTGTAAAACTAAACTTTTTATATACGCATAAAATATATATCTATATATCTATATATCTATATATATATATATACATATTAGTATCAATGTATATACGGGTCGTGTATTTTCCAGACTTTGCGCGCACGGAGGCAGCGTTAGCGATCATCGGGATCGTCATCATGGCGCTGGCGATCGTGTTCGCCGTCTACAGCTTCCAGGAGTCGCGATACATGTACAAGCGGCTCGCCGGATGCGTGTACCTGCTCGCTGGTACGTCCTCTCATCCAGTCTCTTACACACACACACACACACACACACACACACACACACACACACACACACACACACACACACACACACACACACACACACACACACACACACACACACACACACACACT